TGTAAATATGATGACTTAATAATATTATAGAATGATTTACAAGGTATATATAGGATGATTACATGAGATACACTAGGGTAAATATATTTACATATCAATCATTTCCTTATATACTCTACAATAGATACATCTTTTATCCGAGGAGAAATCAAAGATTGAGAGCCATTTGCTTTAACAAGCAATGGCATGGTTCCATCTTAGCCGATAATGAAGGTGATTTGTATATTTGACTCATCCTTTTGAGCCAAATGTGAATTAAACAGGCAAGACTCGATTCAAAACCTTAAAAAGGTACAAGAAAATTATCGAGCTTGTCCTCTTACGAACATGGAAGATAAACATGACTAGGGTTCTAGTTCTTTAACGAACGGAAGCTAAAACGAAAGAAAGTGCAAGGAAAAACAAGTAGGAATCGAATTCAGCAGTATCTAAAGGCTGTGTTTTAGCAATTTGGTAAATTTCATAAAGCGAGAGGTAAAAAAAAACGCTTTCACTCTACTGTGACAAAATCATGATGTTGGCATATAGTGAAGTAGTAGAACTCCAAAAAAATATGCTCTTAAAGATTTAATGAGTCGTACCGGTGAACCGTAGAAGAGTTATTCTTCTTTGTGACAAGCTACTTTTTAAGAGGGTCTCTCAGACTCAGAGAGCTTTCTTCACATCGAAAAAGTTTGAGCGTTCCTTGTTCGCTGCATCAATGTCTTCTTGAGATGCCACGGCCACTGCAACGCCTCTATCTCTAACAGAGTCTATTGCCTCAGCAAATTCCTTGAAGTCCTTCAAACTGTGAGGTCAAAAAAGATAGAAAGGAAGTTATTGTTTTCATCTATTTAAGAATAAGCGACTTGAAAAGGTGGAACCTGGCTATTTGGTAATATATTCAAAGAACTCGTTAAACTCTTAACACTAAAAAACTCAGATCAAAACATTGTCCACTATGGATTCTATAAACCACCACAGGATATTCCGTGGCATATCGTGATGCTGAAAATAAAAAAGATGTTTGAATTGATATAAGTAAAAACAGAGAGAGGCAATGATGTTAAACCTTGTTGATAATATCTCTTCACGTCTTATTTGCCTCTCTTCGTCGGTTACATTAAGCAAATGCCTCAATAAACTGGTGAACAAGAAGAGAAATTAGATTCACAATCCATTATGTTCTTGAAAAGGTCGACACGGAAAAATCATACCTGCTATAACCTTTGGCATCAGGAAGTTGGTAAGAATCAATGTCCCCAATTGTCCCAATAATTGCTTTGGTTAGTGTGTCTTCATCGACATCAAGGCCACGTAAGAAATCCCCAGTTCCATCATATATGTCTAGTGTCTTCAGTAAGTTGGGATCGCGGTAAGATAAGAACGAAAATACTCCTGAACAAGAGAAAATTCAATGGTCAGGTCTAAAGGAGCACGTGTCAACGTGATGAAAACTATCTTCATATCAACAAAAAAGGGGAA